GTATAATTAAATTAATGCATATCTTTGATCTTTTACCGTGTAGATATTTGGGGACCATGTTCCACCATCTCCATTACAGGTTATAAATAATTTTTAACCATCATCGATGATTTTTCACGGTTTATATGGATTAAATTAATGAAACATAACAGTGAAACCAGAGATTACTTAAAAAAAATTGTTAAATATATTACAACACAATTTGATGCAACGCTTAAGACAATCTGAAGTGATAATGGACCAAAATTTTTGATGACAAACTTTTATCTTGTAAAAGGAATTTCTCATCAAATAACATGTGTTGAATCGCCTCAATAAAATGGTATCATTAAGCGAAAGCATTGACCTATCATGAATGTTGCTAGGGCTTTGATGTTTCAAGCTAATTTACCAAAATTTCTTTGGTCTTATGTTGTCATCCATTCGATTCATCTCATTAATAGATTGTCTACACCTTTGTTGCAAAATAAATGTCCTTATATTATTCTTTATAAACATCAACCTAACTTAAATCACTAAAGAGTTTTTGGTTGTTTGGCTTACTCAACGACTTTGGAACATGGTCGAACCAAATTATTCCCAAGGACTAGAAAAACTGTTCTTATTGGGTTGGGTACAAAGATGAGCCTAAAGGATACTTGTTATATGATATTCAATATAGACAAATTTTTGTCTCGAGAAATATGTTTTTTTATGAAACTTCCTTTCCTTTTAAATTAGAAGTTGAATCTAATATAATTAGTCAAAGTATGTCAAAACCAATTTGTGAGAATGATGTCCTCTTTGATACAAATGAACCCATCATTTTTCTAAATCCAGAAAAAAAAGTAGATGACTCAAATCATACTACTGATCCAACATGACACCTCCCTACACCACAAACACCTCGACACTTCATGCGGAAAAAACAACACCCATACTACTTGAGAGATAATCACTGCTACCTGTTTGTTGCTTGCAGTACTAATGTGTTATCCAAAAACAATTCTTCTTCCGTCTCTTATCCTTTATCTGCCTTTTTATCTTATAAAAAATGTTCTCCCAATTATAAAAATGTTTGCTATTATGTATTTCTCTAATTGAGCCAAAAACATATACTTAAGCTTCTAAAATGGACTATTGGGTGCAAGCTATGAATTCTGAGATTGTAGCTCTTGAGCAAAACCCCACTTGGGAGATAATTGTTCTTCCCCTTAATAAAAGGTATGTTGATTGTACGTGGGTTTATAAGATCAAATTTCATGCTGATGGTAATATAGAAAAACACAAGGCTCGATTAGTCGCTAAAGGATATACACAACTTGAAGGGGTGAATTATTTTGATACCTTTTTTCCAGAGTTGCAAAACTCACAACAGTAAAAGTCATACTTGCCATAGTTGTTACCAAAAACTGGTTCCTTGAATAGTTAGATTTTAATAATGTTTTTTTTGCATGGTGACCTACATGAAGAAGTCTATATGAATTTACCCCTTGGTATGGCATCTTCCCATCCAAATAAGGACTTTAAATTGAAAAAGTCTTTGTATGGGTTGAAATAAGCTAATAGACAGTGGTATGTCAAGTTCACCATAACCTTATTAGCTCTTAAATTCACCCAATCTTCGGCTGATCATTCTCTTTTCATAAAGAATACAAGGGTATCTTTCACTGTTTTATTAATCTATATTGATGACATAGTTCTTGCAGACAATGATCCTAATGAAATTGAATATGTTAAGATACATTTGGACAATGAGTTTAGCATTAAAAATCTAGGACAACTTCGTTATACTTTTATGGTCAATCAGAGGAAATATGCACTAGAAATACTGGAAGAAAATAACATGTTTGCTGCCAAACTAGTAACCTCCTATGGAGCCTTTTACCAAACTAAATAGCTCCTATGAAACTCCTTTATCTGACCCTCAGATTTATCGCAGGTTGATTGGTCAGCTGATGTATCTTACAACCATCAGACCAGACCTAGCTTTTGTCACTCAACAACTGAGCCAATATGTTTCTCAACCCTTGGATACTCATCATTATGTTGCCATGAGAGTGCTACGTTATCTCAAAGGATCTCTTGCTAAAGGTCTTCATTTTAATGTCAACTAATCTCTCATTCCTTCAAGTTTTGCTAATTCTGATTGGGGCTATTGTATGGAAACTCGAAAATCTATCACCGAATATTGTGTCTTTCTTAGCTCTTCATTAATTTCTTGGTTTCCAAGAAGCAAAACACATTATCCCCGTCTTTCTCTGAAGCTGAATATAGAGAGCTCTTGCGGCTCTGAGTTGTGAGTTGTAGTGACTTCATTATTTACTTACTGATTTAAAAGTCTCTAGTGCTGCTCCTATTTCAGTTTTTTATGATAACCAATTCGTTATATATCTGACTCACAATCCTATCTTTTATGTATGAACAAAGCACATAGAAATTGATTGTCACATTACTTGTGAGAAAATTCAAGGTGGTCTTATTCATTTTCTACCAATTCTTTCTTTTGCACAACTAGCTGATTAGCATACATCACAAGGATATGAATTTTGGACTGTTATTAAAGGAAACTGTGTAGATAAAACTTTAATTTTGAATCTAAAACATGACCAAATCGTAGATGTCAAAGCCTAGGCCTAACAACAGTATTGCAACAAAGGAATGAGTTGAGTTGGTAGTAAGAGGATTAGCTACTAGCACGTACAATCCCTGGAGCTACTTAGCTGTACCAATCATCTTTTGGTTGAGGGTCTGTTTGATAAACAAAAAGTGAGTTAAAAATAAGATAATAGTTGGAGTCTGAAATAAGTTTGGTAGCAGATATTAAATTGACCTTGAAGTTAGGAATGTACAGGAAATTTTTTAAGGTTAAAAAAGGTAAAAGGTGCACAGTACCAAAAATCTTTGCATGAGTTTTGGATCCATCAGGTAAGGTAATGAGAATAGGTGAAATCTCAGAAATAGTGAGAAAGTTTGCAAGGTTAAAAATTATATGATCAGAGACTCCTGTATCAATGAGCCATTGGTCACATTGTATACCTGTCGAAGAAGGAGAATGAGTGTGCAAAGCTGTGGTGTGGACAAGATTGAAATGATGGGAAGAACTGCAGCTTTCTAAGTTGGACTGTTGAAGTAAGCTGAGATGACCTTGATATTGTTCTTGTGTAAAACCACAACCTGAGGCAGTAATCCCTGACTGGGTTTAAGGTTCATTTTTTGTGGCATAGTTGTCATTGGAAGTGACAACATTAGCATTACTTTGTCTTGACTTATAACCAGGAGGAAAATCATGTTTAAAATAACATGTGTCAATTGTGTGATTGGTCCAGTTGCTATGAGTAAAGAGTTTGTTGGAGAAGACTTGGCCTCTTCCAGTATTGTTACTGCCTCTACCTCTATTTCCACGACCTTTGCCATTTCCAGTGTATTGGTCTGGGTTAATAAGAAGACCCCTTCCAGAACCAATGTGTTAATCAGTGTTGATAACATAGATTTTCGTATCAGATGTAGGTTCAATCATGCCTGTATGAGACATCTGCCTTTCTTGTTGAGCAGCCATAGAGAATATTTTGTTTATTGGAGGAAGATGGTCCAGAAGCACGATTCGGGACCTAACATGTGAAAATTGATCGTTTAACCCTTTGAGAAAATGATTGACATAGTATTGGTCTCTGTATTTCTTATACGCTTGGGTTGTTTCGCATGTGCAAGGTATTGAACACTTGTAGATGAGAATTGGTCTGTAATTGTCAAACTCATCCTATAGAATTTTTAGTTGAGTGAAATATTAGCTAACACTGAGAGTGTCTTGCTCCAATCGAAAAGTTTCTTCTTGAAGTTCCGAAACCCTAAACACATCAGCTTGAGAAAAACGATCATGGAGATCCTGCCAAACCTCCGAAGTTGGATCAATCTAGAGAATGAATTATAGAATGGAATCATCAATGGATCTATGAACCCAACTGAGAACCATGTTATTGCATCGCTCCCATGCTCCATAGGACGTATTTATTGGTGACGGGGTTGAATGCTGCCATCTACAAGCTTCAACTTGTTTTTGTAAAGAAGAGTGAGTTTCATAGCTCTTGCCCATGCATGATAGTTTCGTCCATTTAGAGGTGGTGAGGCTAAAGCTTTTGAGGGTGACTCATTGGTATGAAGATAAAGAGGGTTGAAAAGATTGCTGAGGTAATCACTGTCAAAGGAGCTCTGACGAACCATCGTGTTGTGATGTAAAAAAGGGAAAGAAAGGATAAAGACTTATCAATATTTTGGCCACCAGAGTTCCCTACAAAGTTCTGATACCATCATAGAATTCATAGGTTTTCACATATTTCACAGAGAAAAAAATATCTCATCCATTAATAATGTTCTATTATTTACATAAAGACAAAAGTCATATATAACATAAATAACAAAAACGTAACAAATAAAAAATATTTATTTGACAATACAATTCACCTCCTTCTTAACTTCTTCTTATAATAATAGATTCTTCAATTCACATTAACTGGATATTGATTATCTCACCTTTTCCCTTGCGTAATATATATATATATATATATATATATATATATATATATATATATATATATATATATATATATATATATATATAATGTTTTATGTAGATGTTGGTGTATTCTAATTATGTAGTACAATGACCCATACCTTTTATATGTTTATTTTTTGAAATTGTTCGGCAGGTGGCCCATACCAGTTAGGTGGAAGAATTTGTGCAAGTTAATACATGTATATCAGATACATAATATTTCATTTAATGTAGGAGGGAAAGCATCTTCAAGGTTCATGATTATCGCATTTCTTGTGCCAAGAAGAATGAAAAAGCCATAAAACAACCATTCTATTGCACCTTTTCCAAGGGGTGTACAAAGAATTGATTTTTGCTTTTGTGACAATATATAAGAATGTTTGCATACAACAATAAAAAAATAGCTTTTAACAACCAAACTAAGTTAACTCACTACATTATCTTAGGAAATCTTCTGTTAACACCTCCTTCAAGCCCTTTTTGTCATAGATATCATAAAAGTAGCACACTCCAAGTTCTCCTTCTCCACCTCCATTAGTTGCACAACTTTCTTTTGATACCTCCTGAATACTTCGGTTATAACTTCTGCACCAAACTTTGTAGACATGAGAGGCTCCATTGCTGCTCTCACATGCTTGGCCATTAACTCTGCTTTTATATTTCCATCAAGAGAAGAATCTTCACCCCCTTCACTTATGCCTTCATCCCAAGGCAAGATTAAAATCTCTAATTGTTGAATGAAGAATGACCCTTCTTCCTCAATCACGTGCTTAATTTCTTCAACGGTAGGTTCATACACTGGAATGTTGAAGGATTCCAAATTTGCTTCTTCAATCAAACCCTAGTTTATATATACCTTCTTAATTATAACGTGTAATACAGACGTAAATAATTTCAAGAGATATCCTCAGTAATTAATAAAAAAACTGTTGTTTACCTCCAAGAACATGTCATTGAGTATTAGACTAATTATTTCCCAACCTGTTCTTCTAGGAGTTTCGTGATTGCCGAGAAGCACCAAGACCATTGCTCCTCCAGGCGCAAGTTCATCCGAACGTGATTTCAGAAACAATTTAAAGTCTTGTTGATACTGTTTAAGGTAAGCTTTGTATACCTCAGGAGGACTTGTGCTGACTATATGACAATGGCCCTTGTTAAGTGGTGCTACCTCCATAGACCCCAGTGATGGATCCTACAACCAAAATATATATTAGATGAATAAACTCAAGTATTTTAGAGTGAATTTGGTTTTTTAACAAGTATGTTTTCAGTATAGGGATGGTAAAAATGTAGTTATATAACCATTGGACTAGGTTTAATTATGTTAGAAGTAGAAACAAAAACAAATCTAACACAACTATAAAATTTCAATCAGTTTAGAGGAGAACAGAAGAGTAAAATTATCTGACCTGAGAAAGCCAGTGTAGACTGTTGGAGGAATGAAAAAGGTTTATGGAATTACTGGGAAAGAGCCTCCCATAGAAGGATCCAGGTGTGGCATTAATAAAGCATGAACCATACTTGTGTCCTTTATATGGTAGCAGTTTTGAATAAAATTCAGGAAGTGACTCAAAGGTAGTATTAAAATCGTTTCCAAATAAATCATTGAGAAAAAATTGGAATGAGGGTACTTCACGATTTAAGCGAGTACATGCAGTATCGACAATGTTAATAATATTTGATGTTACAAGAAGTGTATTTGGTCCCACAGAGCACCCTAAATCTGCCACTTTCATGCAGTTTGGAGAGGAATCACAATAGAGTCTCATGATAGTTTCTTCAAGTATATGGTTAGCTTTAAGCATTAGTTTTTTCTGCAATAATTAGGTACAAGTTAGATGAATATATAAGAAAAGGAAACAAATTAATATGAAGATAAAAGATGTTATACTTGCAGTAAGGAGTTGTTTGCATAACTGCTCTCTCCCTTGCCACCATTCATGTGAACCAGTAGTTCTCTATTTGATGCACCGAATGAAGCCATGATCTCTCACACACACATAGCTTGAATTCAATTGAACTCCCAGATTCAGTGCATCAGATGAGGGTATGGTCTTCCCACACAAACAAAAATTGATATTTAAAGAACAAAATAAATCTTTCTGGGACCAAGACTTATCTTTTGTGGATCAGCTCTATTCATCTATAACAAATAGCAATATATATATATATATATATATATATATATATATATATATATATATATATATATATATATATTTTTTTTGTGTGAGAATATTGTAGGGAATCATATGTAAAAAAATTTAATCACTTTTTCATTGTGTTATTAAATATAAAATAAAATTCATAGTGGCTGTATATGAAAAGTTAATCTTTTGTGTCGCCAGAAAAGAAGAATAAGAATTTGTCAAAAAAGAAAAAAAACGATTAAAGAAGATAATCGACAACATATCATCATAATAAAGAACGAGGAAAAGGAACAATATTTGAACAGATAAAATGAAAGAGAAAAAAATTAAATGAAATTAACAAAATAAAAAGCAAAAAAGTGATTAATTTAAAATTACAAATTCCTTTAATTTCCAAAATTGTTACTATGTTATAATTTTGTTTTATGGGCTTCTCAATTATTGGTGTCAATTATTCTACACAATAATATTTTTTTCTGGATAAAATGAATAAATATAACTATATATCCTTATCATTCTTCAATTATTGGTGTCAAACTTAATGTGTTGAATTTTATAATAACAACTTTAAAATAAACCATCATAAACAATTTTTATTTGATTAGTTTAATCGTTTGTAAGCTGTCCCGTTATTTATTATGTAAGAAATAAGTTAGACAGTTATGATATTGTTTTTCTGTAAAAGAAATGCTTCCACGATTCAATTTAGAATTGAAAATATATTAAATATTTTATAAATGATAAATACAAAACAATATAATATTTTTTTAAATAATGATATTATGAACCATAATAATATTTTTTAGTAGAGAAGTTGAAAATTTATTTTATTTTATAAACTATAAAACATAATAATAATATTATTATTATGAATAATAAAAAAAGAAATAAAATTTAAATAAATTAATAATATTATACATGCAGTTTAGTTATTAAAAATTTTCAATCTCATTTAACTTGTATTTGGATACGATGATGAATTTAATATAATGAAAAATAATAGATCTAAATAGAAAGAGAGTTCAAACTGAAATTATTTGAATTAAAGGAAAGTGGATAAAAAATGAAGAGAAATAAAAGAAAAATTTGTAAAAGTTATAAATAATATGCATGGCAACGGAATGGAACGGAACGGAACGGGTCAGTTTTGTTTTCTTGCCCCCACTTTTATAATAATTATCATCTTGTTTACGATTTTAGCTGGAGTTAAAAATTAAATTATTATTTTATTTTCGTTGAATTCGGATTTTTTTCAATTTTGTCCCTGATTTGTATTATTTAAAAAAAAGTATTATATGTATAATAAATTAATTTTATTAATTTTATGTATTTTTTTACATAAATAAATATTTATAATTTTTTAATTTGTAATTATTATTAATTAAATATATTTTTTAATTTATTATATTTATATTATATATATATATATATATATAAAAGAAACATTTAATTTTTTTTATACAAATGTAAAATAATTATATTATTATTATTATATTTAAAATAACATTATTATTATAATATTATATTCAAATATTATATATATATATATATATATATATATATATATATATATATATATATATATAAAAGTTAATTCTTTTAAAGTTGTCATTTAAAATATGAAATATATAATTTATAAGAAAATATTTAATAAGTTAATTCTTATTTAATTAGTTAAAAATAATAAAAGTTTAAATTATTAATTCTTTTTAATCTTTTTATGATACAACTTTTAAGATAAAATTTGATATATAACAAATAAGAATAATAATTTTTAAAAAATATGACATAATAAAATTTAATAAAGATAAATTATAAATAAAATAATATTAGTTACTACTAATATTTATATAAAATATTTAGAAAAATATAAAAAATAAGAAAAATTAAAATATTAAAAAACGCTAATTGATTGAGAGCTTAAAGAAGTGTGAAAAAGTGAAATGTAAAAGAAAAAGCATAATGTAATGAATTAATTAATATAAAAGATTAACAAAAGAAAAAAGAATTAAAAAGTGGGTAGAATAAAAGTAAAAATGGTGAAATATAAAAAAATGACATAATGTGTAATGGAAAAAAAATACTTTTAAAATATTAATATTTTAAAATTTAAATTTAAATACAAAGTCGGGACGAGGATCCGTTTCCGATCAACTTGGTTTTTTCTCGTCAAACTCGATATGAGAACAAATCGATAATCATGAATACAAGTTTAATTGTCATCCCTAAATGTGATTGATTTAATAGATTAAAAAAAATTAAATAATAAAATTATAAGATTACAATTTTATCATTATCTTAAAAAAATTAAAATAAGATATAATTTTTGTAAATTATGTTAAAATAGAAATTGTAAAAATTAATCTCAAATAAATTTTTATGATTACTTTAAATAAAATAACATTTTATTTTTAATTAATAATAATATATAAAAGATATATGTTATTGTACCATATTTTAACATGATAGATAATATAAAATTATGCATCATGTTTTTATTTTTTATTTTTCTAAAGAGACCATCTAAAGTTGTTTCAATATCCGAAATGAACTTGTTGTTGTAAAATAATCATGCTTATGCCTAGCTAGAGGTATGTTTAGAATGATTGGTATGTAATGTAAGTGTAGATTGAATTATATCATTAGATGAGTTTCTCTAATTTTTTTTATTGTTATATGTCGAAATCAGCAAGGTAGTCAGCAGTTGATATGGAAATATGGCATGCAAAATCATAAATTTTAAATGCACTCATCATTGTAAATGATTCAAGACTTTACTTGCCATTATATAAGAATGTCTTCGTATTCATAAGGTATGATAAAGAAATATAATTTTCAATGCACGAAGCCTACTATTGAGTCAATTCATTGTAATATCCAGTTTGAAAGAACCGATTCTCCACAACGAGAGTTGATTCTGCTTCCACAAAGAAGATTCTCCATAATTTTAAAAGAAGAGAGAATCAATTCTCCATCAATTCAAACATGTCATGTGAGATCGATTTTGCTCCCATAGAGAGACGATTCTCCATGCATTCAAAAGAAAGGAGAATCGATGCTCAGTTCAAACATGTGAGAATCAATTTTCAAACATATGAGAATCAATTCTCTATGATTCTCTCTGCCTCTCTCAATCAGTTTCTCGGTCAAGTATCACCACCAACGTACATTGCACATCAAACCAACCTCAACAAACACACATCTCACAAACGAACCACACCAACTTACCTCACACACGAGACAATAACTTACCTCCACGAACAAATCCCTCCAATGTATTTAATGACACTTTCACTCGTTGGGACAGGAAAACAATTGCATGCATGCACAAAGCCATGTGAATGTTGTAGTTTCACATTGTTGATTGATTTTGAGAGGAGGGCAAGAGTGTAACTTCACTCTCCTTTTCTCCTCATGTACGTCGGTCCCTCTTTTTCCCTTTTTCCATCGCTTTTCTCCTTACTCTCTCTCAAATCCGTTTGTGTCTTTCTGATTAAATTGGTGGATACAAACACCAATAATCCATATTTTTTTATTTGTGTGAACAGTAAATATGTTGAAATAACAACGTTGAATGTATTCTTGTTGTTGTGAACATATTTTATAGTTTAACAACCGTCCCTAATTCAATTTATTTGTAACAAATTGGTGGCTAAAATTTTGATTTAGCTACCAAAATTTTGTAACTAAACAACTTGACTATTTGCTCACAAAAAACTAACGTGATTAATAAGTATCACATCTTTTTTTTATCTTTAATTGCAATTAAATCATAAATATTAAATTATTTAATCATTAATTATAATTATTTAATAACTAAATTATATATATATATATATATATATATATATATATATATATATATTAGTATATGCACGGGTTAAATACACCTTACAATTTTAGTTTCTTTTTTTAGAAATTCATCCTTAAATTGAATTTTAATCCATATGCTTATACACTAATTTAATTAATATAAAAACTTATAAGAATAAAATTACATTTAATTAAAAAATTGACAAATGGAAGATTATTAAGAAAATTATATTTAAATTTATTTTGATTTCTTGATGAGTGATTTATTGGGAAGTTTGATTTCTAGTTTGCTTTCTTGTTTGTATCTTTAGTGTTCATATTTTCTTACTTTTTCTTTTACATAAAAGAGAGGAAAAAAAAAGGAAAGGAAAGGAAAAGAAGAAAAAACAAAAAGAAAATGAAAGAAATGAAAGGAAAAGAAAAAAAAAAGTAAGAAAAGAAATGGAGAATAGAAGAAAAGAAAAAAAGAGAGCCTCAGTTAACCTTATCCTAAGTTTGTGGCTTCATAGTGGGGGATGAATATGATAGGCTTTTTCCCTCTTGCCACCAATTTGAGAAAGTTTTAAATTGTGACAATTAATTACTTTACCAAGTCGATAGAAGCAAAAAAGATTTGAATATCTACACTTGGCATCTTGCAACTTGAAAACATTCCTTGCTTTCTTGAGAAACTTGTCAAGATTAGCCAATTTAGATCTTTCTGTTAGGTTAATCTTTAATTGAATATGATCTTCATTCTAATGATCAAACATATATCTTTAATCCCATACTGTAAACATGTTATAAACTAAATGCGAAAGCGTACCTGAATTAGCCATAATGACGATATCCTTTGTAGAGCACTTTTGATTTGATCTTATGGTCTTCCACCTGAAGAGCACCTGTATTTCCCTCTTGATTTTCTCTCTTGATGGGGATAGAAAGAAAAGAACGGGACTGTAACTTTGTTCTGTCTGTGTGCTCTCAGAAGGGGACCATGACCCTTTATATAACCAAAATTAGGTTAATTACTTAAGTTTTA